TGAAATCACTATTTTCTACATTGCTTGACAGATTTTTGTCCTCCAAAGATGGCAATCCAACAGCTTACCTAAGTAATGTCATAGAATCATAGAATAATTTGAGTTGGAAGGGACCCACAAGGACCATCAAAGCCCAATTCCTTGCTGCATTTTAGAGGTTTTCTTCTTCTCCTGACCCCACTGGTGATCAGAATATCTTGTCAACATTTTATTTGCAGAAACATTTATGTATCTTTCTCCCCTCAATACTTTCCTCTCCAAACAAAACAATGCTGTCTGTTTCAGAGTCATGGCTCCTAGAATTCCTATCGTGTTGCTGTATTTCCTTCTTTCTAATTGTCAGCTTATTACTTTTTTTAACTGCAGCAACCAAGGCTGGACATATTTTAACTTTAACCTTCAGAATATCACAGGAGAGGAGGTTAATTCATGTATTATTCACTGCTGTCAATGCATCTTGGCATAAGATCTATTTTTGTTATAAGTGGTATGATGCTGTTGATACACAAAGTTTGCCATCTGGTAGAAGTCAGATATCCTTCATTGCAGAACCTCTGCCCAGCCAACCATTCTGTACTCCTGCAGTAAATCATTTCTAACTGAGGGCGAAATTCACTCTTTGCTGGATTTCTACAGAAAGACCCCTTCTCAAAGGTTCTCCAATCTAATCTAAACTAGGTTGTACAAAATGTCCCTGAATGCAGTGAAGAGTGACAATGCATCTCATCCCATGCTAAAATAGATATATGTGGCATGAACTGCCCTCAAGAAAGGCACTTCTCACAATTTAGCAAGGTAAATTGGATAGTTAAAGTACTGGTTTTCAGTTAAGCTAAATGATGGCTGTCCAATTTTCAGCAAGCTATTCAAAGTAAAATACACCTGACACACACTGTGTGCTTTCCTCATTGATCTGGACTCTGTTCCTTGTAAACCAGAGAGATCAGGACAAATTTTATACTTTTATCACCCAATATACCAGTGTCCCCGCCCAGCTTAATGCCTTTGTCCATACTTGCTAAAATAATTCAGTCTCTTAACCTGAAGTACTGCACAATGCAGATTGCAGGAGTGAGCCTTTCCAAAGAGAATCTCTCTCACTGGAGATTCTCATTTTGAAGTACTGAATAATTACTCTGAATACAGGATTAAAACCAGTTTGTTATGTAGAAGACATTTCTCCTACTTTCCTATTAGAATGACACTGTCTCTCATGAGAAAATTCTTATTAAAGAAGGGACAAAGCAAATGCTTTCTCTAAAGGAACTTTTTTTCTTTGCAAATAACTTATGGGGCCAAGTCAAGTTTTAGAAACTAGCACTAAGACTGGTCTGAACAGTTTGAGAATGAAATTAAGAACAAACATACATAAGAGACATAAACCTCTGCTCTCGTAGTTTCGACAACAGTGAATTTAATGATACACAGAAATTAATTTTAAGTCCAGACAAATTTAATCTATCTTTCACAAGAGGAAAGCAAATTAATGCCGAAAAATACTGCTCCCTGACGTGGTCAGATATCAACTACCCTTGTTAGTGGTATAGGGCTGTGAAAAGCACTGCTAAAACACTGCAGAACAATTCAAATATCAGTCAAGAAAGAACTCCGGGAAGCCTTATCTAAATCCTGTTCCTAGAAAGCAATCTACAAAGCTTTGATAGCAAAGGTACCTCAATTGCATGGTTCTCCTTGCACTGACTGTGCTGGCCCTGGGGTTTAGTTGCTTTCATACCCATGTTTTCTTCTCTCCACTCTCAGACAACTGTACAGACTTTTGATAATACTCAGACTTTGCAAAAGAACACAGTAAATCCTTTTCAGTAACTAAAAAGCAAAACTAGAAGTGCATTTCATACATCTTAAGCTGCAGTAAAATTCCTTTTAAGAGCTTGTCAGTTTAAATTTGCATCATTGTCACACTCATGCTAATGGAAGCTGCTCTTGAAGCACTGCTTTCAGATATTATACAACAGGACTACAAAGTGTTATACACTGAGCATTTAGGGCTTTAAAATACTGATACTCTGAGGTTCGCTTACTTGCCAGACCTGAAAATGCCATGCACGACACTTAATGCTGCACCTAAATCTACAGATCTGATTTCTCCTCTGAGATGCATTTTATTCCTGGAGTTTAGTATATATGTTATCTTAGCAGACTGAAAAAGTTGGGGCTGCTCAGCCTGGAGAAGAGAAGGTTGCCTGGAGACCTCATCACAACTTTCAGGTATCCAAAGGGGCCTACAGGGAAACCAGAGAGGGACTCTATATTAGAAACTTTAGTGGTTAGACAAGGTGTAATGGGTATAAATTAAAAGAAATTTAGATTAGATATTAGGAATACAATTTTTTGTGTGAGAGTGGTAAGACACTGGCACAGGTTGCCCAGGGGGGCTGTGGCTGCCCCAACCCTGGCAGTGTTCAAAGCCAGGGCGGATGAAACCTTGAGCAACCTGGTCTTAGTGAGAGATGACCCTGCCCAGGGCAGAGGAGGTTGGGACTAGATGATCTCTAAGGTCCATTCCAACCCCTTAACATACTATGAATCTACGAAACTATGTTCTTAACTAGTTTTGTTAGTGATCTACAAATGCCAGTTACATTTACACACCATGAAACACACATCTATTCTCCTATTTTCTTCCAATCCATACATGTACAAATCTTTGTCGACAAAATTCTGTGGGATTTGAACAAAGGAAAGGAACTAACTATTCTTTGCAGCTGATGTGCAAGTGGTCAGCTTTGTTTCCACAGCTCTCTATTTCTCACCTCAGAGGGATTTTATGTTACACTATTGCTGTAGAGTCTTCTGCCACCTCAGTCAACCAATCTCAAGTCCCGCTGCCTGGGTTTGCTAAGACTGTAGAGATGTCTTCCAAATGCAAATATCTACTCTTTGGTTTTAGAGTGGTGCAAAATCCCGCTTAGATTTCCTAAACTAAGATGAATTTCAAAGAGATCAAAAAGCCTTTAAATTGCTAAGAATATTATTTTTAATATTTTAACCTGAAAGTCACAATATATGTTCTTTCTTCTTAACCTAAAGCTAACAATTATTGACTCAAAGCAACTAGATACATATATAGCAGATCTCAGTAATGTACTGGACATTATAACATTGCTTTGTCTACCAAGTGCAAGGACACGGATTTGGATATTATGTACAGAAGAGGTCTGAGGGTCCCTTGCTAGATTTCTTCACTACACTTCACAAGACATTGATAGAAGGTCAACATCTGTTTTACTCAAAGCTCTTCAACATCATAATGAACAACAGAAAATCTTCATTCTTGTGAACTTTATATTGCTTGCATCACACCAGAGCTGTTGCCCCATTTGTTCCACGGTAAGAAAACCATGATTGAGCAGGACCAATAAAATCTTAGTGAATGTTTCAATTTGTACACGTGAGATGTCAGAACCATAATGCAGTTAAAGAATACGCTCACAGTCATACAGGCATATGAACCTAAACACTGAGATTCAAATGACTAAATTAATTTGCTAACCCTGTTCTGGATGCCTGGTACTTAATACTGAAGAAACTCTATGTATTCCAGTGTAGGAGCAATAGATCAGAGAACTACTTCAAAAATGCCACCAAACCAAACCTAGAAAAACAATCAATAATTGATCTGGTTTAATTAAATACTGTCCTTCTTGATAGAACACTGTCCTTCACTGGTTGCAAACCCCAGCATTTTGCAACCTGCTAACCCTTCTGAGGAGCAAGGCATACTTTCTCCATTTGTAATACACAAATTGCATTAAGAAAAGAATTTGCATGAAGCTGTAAACCTGTAATGGACTGTTGCCTTTTTTTTTTAAGATAATAAGTGATGGCCAACTTTACTTCCAAATTTTTCCCTCAGCTACTTTTATCTACTCAAACTATTAGCCAACTAACTGGAAGAAAATAACCTAAGAGAAAATGAAGCCTTTGAAGAAAACAGAAAACAAGTATTTTATGCTTTAAGAGCAAAACCCAAACATGAGAAAATATTTCACTCCATCTTCCCTGCCCAGTATTAAGAAAAAGCTTCAATGTACTTTATGCTAAAAATGTACCTTTCTCAAAGCTGCTAGAATGCTTTTTTCCTTAAGCCCAGAAGACAAATCATTCAATTCATGTACATAACTTACTCTTTAAGAGTTTCACTATTTTGGGATGCTTAAGTTGGACCTTGGAACTCCAGAGCTGACCTCTAAACCATTGCAAGGAACAAGAGAAAACACTGCATGAAGGAGCAATAGACAGTGGTGTTCTTTGTAGGAGAGCACTTCTAGGCACAGAAGCCTATCAGTACTTCCCTCATGAGGAAGAAACATTCCTCTTCAAGACCTTTATTTGAAAATGTGGGGCTCTGGCAGCAATAAGAACTTAAAAAGAAAACTGGTCCTGCTTACACTGAGCTCTGGAAAAAAAATTAAAGCTCAATTTGTCTCCTGAGTCAGCTCACAGCATGACATCGCATACGGCTTATTCAGCAACACCACAGGCTGATACTGTCACCCAAGTTCCCCTGCCCTCAATCTTGTCCTCAATAGGTAGCAGGTCCTTACCCTGACATTAAAAAAAACCATTAATTGCTCGATTATGCCGTATTATGCAGATCTCATCATCCAACCTTCCACAGAATGCATGGCGCTGGCTTTATTACACCTGTTCTTACTGATGTATATGAAATGCAGAGTGGGGGAAAAAGTCCAACCTGGCTGAGCTGTCACACATTTCTTACTTGATCTTCAGTGATTTCACTGGCAGAGAAGCCTGATAACTCTCTTTCTAGACTTCATGGGAGAAATGCAATGCTCCTCTGTCTTCATGCAGCCTGTACACTTATTTGGGTTTTGTCAGATGGATTTTTGATGGTTTTGAACAGGAACAGAAGAAAAGTTCCTCCCAGTTAGTGCACTAAGAGAACCTGGCTCAGCCCATCCAAGGCAATATTTGGAAAGTTCTGTTATCTAGAAAGCACATAAAAATAAACTTGCCTTCCATAAAGATCCGGTTCCAGTAGATTTTTCCAACTTGATTTCCTCCAAGAAATATTAGATTTGATAAAATCAACATTGAAGTGCTAACAGATGCCAGGACAGCATGAAGTCGACGACAAATTCTTGGTGAGAAGAAACGTTCCTGAGGGGCAAAACAAAAGGTGCAGATGAAGTTAACAATACCTTGCAAATTTGTAAGCAACATTAGAAAAAGACATTCTGGTTACGACAAGCAACTTTTATACAGAAGTTCAAATTCTTATGGAACAGATACCAAATATTTTAAAATATCTAGCAGAACCTCTCACCAATGCCATTTAAGTCTGAATAATAAGAAGTGATGTTGAATGATAGTTGTGGTTGGAAGGGCCCTCTGGAGGTTACCTAGAAAGGTTCTCAAAGCAGAGTCAGCTAGAGCAGGCTGCTCAGGACTGCGTCTGGTTGGGTTTTGAATATCTCCAGTGATGAAGACTACACAACCTCACTGGGCAACTCCTCACAGCGAGAAAGATGTTTTATATTTAGATGGAATTTCTTGCATTTCAGTCTGTGTTCACTGCCTTTTGTCCTGTCACTGAATACCACTGAGTAGAGTTTGCCTTTGATTTCTTCCCTCCTACAATTAGGTATTTATACACTTTGATAAGATTCTTCTGAGTTTTCTCTTCTCCAGGCTGAACAGTACGAGCTCTCTCAGCTTCTCCTCTTATTGCAGAGGTTTCAGTCCCTTTACTATCAGTCCCTTGCCTGGACACACTCCAGTACGTCCATGTCTCTTTTGTGGGGAGCCCAGAACTGGACAGAGTTCTATACATTCAATGTCTTAACCTTTTTCTTACTAAATGCTCTCTTTAATGAATTTTTGCCAATGGATGCAAACAGTGACCACATGCTTCTAGGATGGATAATATTACCCAATATGTTCCAATAGGGAGTAAAGCACTTCAGTACACAACAAACAGCATCAAACAACTTCAGAAGTCATTAATCCTTTGGCTGATTAATAAGACATCACTGAAAGATTCTAGAGTCAGATCAGAACTGGTTATAGCAATGACTCTTAATAGATACATCTATGTAAAAAAAAAAAAGATTGACATACAGATGCAATCCCATATTTTTTTTTCAGTGCAACTATTACTGCTCATGTTTCAGAAGTGTAATTATAGGCTGTAAAGGCTTTGGTACTGTTGTTCTAATGATATACATAAAGTGGATCTCTCTCTCCACCATATACTAGTTTACATTTTTCGCAGTCTATATTTTATGTTATCACTTGAAGCATGAGTGCAGTACGGAGATTGCAAGAAGACAGTGAAAGAAGGGTAAGAATGTTTTAGCTTCCTGCAATATTCAGTTGCTAGAAGAAATTTTAAAGAGCATTATAGCACATCACAAGGAAATATTGTCTCATTACTGCACAAGGAAAAATATCGGGTTCAGCATGGCCTCAGGCTGAAAGCCTCTGCACATTGTGCTTGAATTTGCAGAAGAATGAATGCTTCATGTGAAGTGATAAGCATTTGCCAGGGCATTGAGACTAAGGAAAGTATCAGAAGCTGCTCAGCCTTCATGACATAAATGGTGACGTTGCAGAAAACAAAGTCTTGTGACTGCAGCATCAAGGAAGAAAAAAAAAAAAGCAGTCATTAATCTTTAATAGCCACAGCCAGACCAGAACTCATGCTCACATACCTGAAACAACATAAACACATGCTCAAAGCAGACCCAAAAATCCATTTCTAGACAATTAAAATGCTAGTTCTGTAAGCATCAAATGTTTCAACTGCTAGATTATAAAATGACAAATCTTCAAATAAATGACAGCTACAAGCATAAAAATACAATTTCAACACATTACTGCAAAGCAAAATCTCTGACAATGTTAGTCCCAGTCAGAACTATATCTAGTATATGAGTCAGTCTGAGTCAGCACAAAAATGGGAACAGATAAGGTTTAAGGAAAAGTACCCTGTATAAGGTTGTATGTGTGATAACTAGAGGAATAGTCAATTTTCCACACAACACTATGAAAACAGTCATGTATGAAAACAGAGACTGACATTTTTCTCTGAAAATTCTGGATGAAAAGTAGGGCATCACAGGAGAAGGGTAGAGAATATAACATAATTATATAAATATTCACAGACATTGACAATTACTTAGTAAAACAACTTCTTCTCTTTCTACTACTTTGAATCTCCAAAGCTGCCCAAAGACTTCCAATACATTCTCATTCTGTTCACACACATGTATGGGACATCTTAAGTTTGTGTCTTCCTGACATAGTTTGAATGTGTGGTTCCACATTAGAAAAATGCATGCTTTTTCAGAATGCCTAAGTGTACACACACAGAGAAAAATCCATGTTAACAACAAAGCTTAAATAAGGAGAAGTTATGACCATGCTAGCTTGAACTTCTTTCTTGACTCACCAAACCTACCCTCTTCTTACATAATGCTAATTAATTCTGATTAAGATGCAGCTCAAATAGAGCATAGTCTATCATCAGATCTACCTTTTGCTCTTCCTTTGTCTATCAAACTTATTTGTCAACTCTAAAAAAAACCCCAGTTTTAATTAAGAAAGGGAAACAAATCTGCTAAAGCTGTAGAAAGAGTTAAAGATGGCTAACCCATTTGACAGTTGGACTGCATTTTCCAGCAAGGTACTGATCAGACCCACTAAGTTTGTAAAGTCTGCCTGTTTTAAAACCCAAAGCAGTATGACTAAAACAACATGAATAGCTAAAAAAGCTCTGCACCTCTTTTTTTAAAAAAAATGAATATAGCTACTAAAAATAATAAATAACACTGTCACATATAGTACATTACCCTCTATAAAAGTGCTCTGTGTTAAACAATGCAAGTTACCAGTAGTATACACCATTAAAACGTTTAGCCATTTATAAGGTATAAGGGAGCAGTTTAAGACAGAAACAGTTTAGACAAACACTGAACCCTTTCAGGGTTTTGCAGTAGCTAATTTCCATTAACTTTGCTAGGCATGGATCCAAAAAGCAGTACACATTTTCCTGACAGTCTTTGCTGTCAATGCAGCTTTAACTCAGCTGCAATGAAGGCAAGAAAAGAAAATATTCTTGAAAGATCTCAAGCAATCTAAAAAAAGCTAACTATGAAAGTACCCAAGCAGCTATTGTGCACAAATTAGTACACTGGAGATATTATTTACCCATATGAAATGAATGAGGCTGGTCCAGATAATCCATAATAACAATTGTGATTTAAATATCCACCAGCATGTAGATTTTTCTGAATGTACAGCAAGACGTTTTCATCAAAGCAGACAAAATTTTAAAACCCTCCATACTCACAACTCTTCATTATGCTTTTAACAATATGCTCCATTACAGCAATACAAACAACTGCTATGGATTTGTGGTGTTTCTCTGGATTTTACTGCTCTCTCTTTCTCTCTGTTCATTTCCTGTTGGAAATATGGCCAGAAGATAGAGTGGCAAAAGAGCACCCAGGGTTAAAATGACAATAAAGCCATGGCTGCCTGGCTGAAACCCTTATATTTGCATATCTCCTCAATGATCCATCTTAGTTGTAATCTTGCATCACTACTTCACCATCCTTCACTTTCAATAATCACCACCATCCCCACCGCCCCACACACTGTGAGATAAATGGGCTGTAGCATTTTAACTACACAAGAAAACCAGACATACTATCAAGATACTCAGCCCAAAGGCACATGGCCTGATACAAGTGACTTACAAAAGGCTGGCCCAGGCTACCTTTCCTGGAACTGAATGGTGCTTGTGTTATGATTCCAAA